CCCCAACCCCATCCACCTCACTGTGGACACAAGTCTCCAGAATGGCCGCATGAGCACCAAAGCCTATGTCAGCACTTTAATGGGTATATAAACTTCTGATATGGGCAGTATTTTCAAGTACCAATACGTCTGCTTGGTCTTCCTTAGTGTTCCGTGCATTTTGGGACAGAATGGAATCTCAGACGTTGTGAAGGTGACTCTGACTCCTGAGGAAGAGGCCCGTTTGAAGGAAAGTGCGGATACACTTTGGGGGATCCAATAAGAGCTGCAATTTTAAAGTCTTCTGATGTCATACCATTTCACTGTCTAGGCTACAACAGGATTCTTCTTAGAAAAAAAGAAAAACTTCTCCTCAAATGTTAGCACATTCTAACATGATCAATGCAAATGTGAAAACCTTATAATGTTCCAGAACCTTACAAATGAAGAAGTAAGAAAATTAACACAGTGCTTAGAAGAAATGACACAGAGAATGGAAGCCCTGGAAAATCGCCTGAGATACAGATGAAGATTAGACATCGACACATCTGTAGTCATTGTATCAACGATTAAAATGAAAGCAGTGCAGAGCCCCAAAGCTCAGGCTATTGTTAAATCAATAATGTTGTGAAATAAAACAGCACTGAGAAAGCTGCCTTGCCATAGAACAAAGGCAAGAAGTAGACATCAACTTGTATAAATTTATCTAGGAAAAGAAATCCTTCAGAATTCTAAGATGAATTTACCAGGTGAGAATGAATAAGCTATGCAAGGTATTTTGTAATATACTGTGGACACAACTTGCTTCTGCCTCGTCCTGCCTTAGTGTTGCAATCTCATTTGACTATATGATAAAGTTTGCACAGTCTTACTTCTGTAGAACACTGGCCATAGGAAAGGCTGTTTTTTGTATTGGACTTTACCTTGATATATGTATATGGATGTATGCATAAAATCATAGGACATAAGTACTTGTGGAACAAGTTGGATTTTTTATACAATATTAAAATTCACCACTTCAGAAAAAAAAATTTATAGAATTATTTTTCTGATATTCTCTGGTATAACATTTGAGAAGGTTACCTCTACCCATCAGAACTTTTTACACCTGAATGCAAGTTTAAAGAATCTGTTTTTGAAAATTATTATGTAATCTACTCCTCCATGCTGTACAGACAACAGGAATCCGGTAGAGCCTGGTTTTTGGGATTAAATAAGGAAGGGCAAGCTATGAAAGGAAACAGAGTAAAGAAAACTAAACCAGCAGCTCATTTTCTACCCAAGCCATTGGAAGTTGCCATGTACCGAGAACCATCTTTGCATAATGTTGGGGAAACGGTCCCGAAGCCCGGGGTGATGCCAAGTAAAAGCACAAGTGCGTCTGCAATAATGAATGGAGGCAAACCAGTCAACAAGAGTAAGATGGCATAGCCAGATCCTCACAGGTGTTGTGGATTATTTGTCCTGAGCACAGTTGAGTGATTTATCCTCACCAGACATTCCTGTTCTGTGGCTGAAGGGCACCTGGAAGTAAGCTAATGCTTGCTCTTTGCTGTCTCTGAACTTCTCTGTTGCAAGTGGATAAATCTCAACCTGTTGCGCCCCCCACAACAAGAAGACACCTGGATAACCAGCTAAACTCAGACCATGGAATGCCCTACCAGATATGGAATGCCTTTTTAATATCTTTTCTGTGACTGTGACACTTCATGTGAATGACATACTTCACAAGTACACTCGATACCTTGCCTGCTGACAGCTACCCATCATCCTTTTTGAGTCCTGTTTCAGCGAAATCTATGTGTTTAAGTTCAATTTTGTAGCACACAAATAATATTGAGTAATTTCTAGTTAGATGCTGTAAATCTGTGCTATTATGGATTTCTCTTCTTCCCATTTTTACAGGGCTGCTCGCTCCACTGTCTGTGACCTTTTTGCAGGGATTGTGTTCCTCTAAATCTTAAATGTTGAAGTTGGCTTAGTTCAGAGAGCAATCAGGGAATCAGGAAGCCTTCTAAACCTATTATTACAAACTGCATCTATCAAGATTAAGATTGTTGTCTCTGGCTCACACTATCGATTAAACACACATATATGCTCTATCCAGTAGCAGATACTGTGCTCCCAAGGT